AAGGCATAAAGCTTACAACAGTACCTTGCAAGGGGTTGGAGCAACTCATCCATCATTGACCTTACTATTTTATTTATGGACAAAGCTGAGGAGGGCCCATCAGCATTTTGAGCTCACCTGTCTCGCTTGCCGTGACAGAAGAAGCATGGCATTTATAACAGTTGTCGATGCCAGGCTAAGCCAAAGTCGTGACATTTTCTTTAGCAACAAGCTTGGAAGGAATGTTTCAGGAGCTTTATCCTCCGGATATCATTTAGATTATGGCAGTACAAGAGCTTTAATTCAATGCTTTTCAAGCTCAACTTATTAACATTACGCTATATATTGGTTTGAGTTCAATTGACAGCCACAGTTTGGCTTCTCTGTCTTGCCTTTGTGGTATGAGAACAAACTAAATGTAGTCAGTACTGAACACAGCCCAAAATGTTGAACTTTTGTCTGCAACCTGGTCAGGCATGTGAGCATCTGCTGTCTAATACGAAACAATGTGAGGAACTGTACATTAGGCAGCATCAGATTTTTGTTGGATATCAGGTAAATCCAAGCCTTAGATAATGAGGAATCTATAGACAAACAAATTTTCTTTCTCCACCTCAAATCTATAGGCAGAAACATTGACAAACCGAAAACCCCTTGGTTGAACTTATGAGAAGAACTGAACCTAGAACATGAAATTTGAGATGAATAGACAACAAGGGAAACAAGACAGGAGAAGATCTAGTAATTTGTTCTTATATGGAAGGAGACATATCTTTCTTTCAACCTTTTCCCTCCATCCCTGTTGTCCCACAGTGCGATCTTTAAAGCCCAGGACAGGCAAATAACCATTGCAGTATGTGGACTGACAAAGTAAAAGGAGGATAAAAGCTCATAAGAAATAAAGTAAAAGCTTACTCCATTCAAACCTTCTGCAGCCATGCAGTCCACAGCAATAATGGAGTTAAATGCTGGTTGTATCCTTCACGAGGGAATGAAGCACAAGATTCAAACAAAATCCAAGCAAGCATACCCTAATAAAGTGTGCATAGGCCCCAGAAGGAAAGGGAGTAAAGAGTCCCTCGACAGCAACTAAACAAGCACCAAAGCAACCAGGAAGAACAAACAGGCATGTAAAGAAGTCACGAGAGAGCGAGCGAGCGAGCGAGCGAGCGAGAGAGTGACAGAGAGAGAGAGAGAGAGTAACTTTCTTGCCGTTCCATATAAAAACTCTCAACTAAATCTTCTTATTCTCTCTCTCTCTCTCTCTCTCTCTCTCTCTCTCTCTTTCACGCACTGTCTCTGCAATTTTCCTGCTCACAACCATATTGTCTCCTAGTGCTCTTACTCCCCTAAGACCATTCGCCACTATGCATGAGAGGTCAACATCCGATAGGAGATCGGCCATGTTCCCTGATCAACACATGTGCTTCTTGAACACTTGCTTTTATACTAGGAAAAGCATTGGTCAGCATGAAATGTAGGGTTTATCTGAGGAGGCGACGCACAAGATTCCAAAAACCTACGGGCAAAGCAGCTTGGCTTGAGGGCAACGATGGTGGGGATGTTAAACTCGATGCAGAGATGATGCCATTCATTAAGCTGTAGGCTACAGAAATCTCAAACCTTAAACCCAAGTCGTGGCAGTCTCCCTGCTGCAACGGTGGGGTTCACTCCCAAGTTGAATTATGTGCGTGCTTCCACATTCTCGCTCTCCTGAGCGTGATCAGAGAGAGGAACACAGAGAAAGAGAAAGCGCTCAATGCAGAAGGTCCTCAGAGCTGTGCTGCAAGCCTGAAAAGAAGCCTTTTTTTTTTTGCTTTCTGCTTTTGCTTTTCTTCACCTGGTCTGGAATTGAAACTGAAAGGGGAAAAGAAGCCATGCATTTTGCGCAAGCTTTGGGACATTCGAGTAGGCGATAAAAGATCAAACATTCTCAAACACGAACTAATCATTCCTGCCGCTTCGTTTATGATGCCACCGAAACGGCAGCAACTCCATGTTGCATGCACCCCTCGCAATGCATCTCATGCTCAACAATATGGGCTTGGCTGTAGATGATTCAGGAGACGAGACGAGACGAGACGAGACGAGACGGCACACGAGGACGGCGAGGGGGGGGGTCAATTCTAAGCGAGCTTTTTCGCCTTCTTTTTCCGGGTTCACGAACAAGACGCCACTGAGGGCACAAACTTTATGATCGATCCCTAATGGAGATGGATGAATTGACCTGGATGTGAGATGAACAAGAGGAAAATATGGAGTTGAGCTTTCGTCTCCATCAACATGGAATGATATGTGATGGGACCTCTATTTATTGATGAGACCGCAACATCAACCAAATGTAACCCATCAATTATCCCTTTACAGGCTCAACGGCTGATCTCTGAGCAAGTTTAGTTAGTAAATATAAGATTTTGTAGTATAGTCTTCGAGATGAATGGCAGCTTCAAGTGAGGAGACTCGTCGCATCGAATGCCCCACAACGACAAGGCTGCGTCATGCTTCTTCCACAGTTTCAGATTCTCCATTATCCATGTCGATTTCAGATTAAAATAAAAAGACATAAAGCAGTAAACAAACTAAGTTTGATTGACAAGCTCTAATTCGTTGCAATGAGTAGAGACAATGAACTAAAAACTAATATTTAATATAAAAAAGAAGAAACTAATCTCGATCAAGAACTAAAGGAAATTACAGGTTTCATCCCCTACACTTTTTTTTTGCTACAATAGAGCATGATGCTAAATAAAACTTGGTGATTATGGTATCATAAATCTTCAGTCAGATAAGCTGTTCGAACGACGCTCTCTAGGTATCGTGAGACATCATAGTATTGTAGATTATAGCCACATCCTACGCTCAAATCCAGTCAACGTCAATTACCTATTAAAATAAAAACATGTCAATTGATGCCTTAGCATCATCATATAACCAAGAAATAACAAACAGTAATAATAAAATTTCCTACTGTAAGTTCTAACAGTTAATGTTAGAGCAGTAAGAGAGAATCTCGTGATGTGTTGGCCTACAATGATAACAAAAATGACGTATCAGAGAAAATTGAAGAGATAAATAACAACATGATCAACAGGGTATGAAGCAATTTTCCAGAGTCCAGCTTTGATCCTAAGCTGTGAAGTCCTTTTGGATAGAAACTAGCAGCAATGAAATCTTTAAGAGCCAGAGGCAACATGTACCCGAACATTATAGCATAACAACAACAACAATAACAAAAAGGACGTTCTCCTATAGGAAAATGTTTGTGAGTGAAAATTCACAACACAACTTGGATGTTCCATGATGGAGACAAGCACTTCCAAATAAAGTGGATTTGGAAGACCATTTTTATACAACAAGCAAGCGCATTATAAATCAGCCGCAGCATAATCTGTCAAATATACTAGCATGCATGGATTGAAGTAACCATTTGTATCAACATAGAGTGCCATACACACAAAACACACAAAAAAAAAAATCATAGAAAATGATGCATGCCCCATGGGTGTATCCATCAGTCCTCTCCTCCAATCATCCTTTTTATTAACCTAATTGAAGGTTAGGAATATAAGATTCCTAAATCTGGAAATAATCATCGTCTCCTCTATTAGTGAAGATATATAGCTGTTGTTTGCGCAATTGTTTAGAGCTTCAATAGTCAATACTTTTGTTTTGTTTACACCCTTAGTTCAAGTAAAAACTTGTAAATATACTATGTCAATTTCTGTTGATCTGTAAAGATTTAAGCTTCTCCACAGATTTCTGTCAGATATAGAAAAGTCTGAAAAATCCAGACTATTAGTCCAATATCTATTAGTTCAATGTCAAACTTGAACTACACTTTGATGTAGAAAATTGCATCTTACTGGTGTTAGTAATGTCTCAAATCCTAGTATATTTTGTGAAAACAAAACAAAAAGAACAATCAAAATCAAGCAAATGCGGCCTGACCAGATCAATCTGACATGCAACAAACCCAACACCAACTCCCCTACTCCCTAGTAAATCATGCTGAAGTGGTACAGATTGCATATTATAGCATTCCTAATATAAATCACATATGGTTACAGAATATAATAAATTTCAGACTGCTCCTATTAACATTTATATTATCACGTTCTGCTTCCAGAACTGCCTGGTGTTGGCTCTGTAAAATGCCAACTCGTATTTAAATTGCCATACACTCGTTACACTTTTCCGGTTGACACTGCATCTATTCATAAACGATCATTATAAAGAATATGCACTGAAGAACAACAGAATCTACAATACCATCCCCATTGTTTAGTGCTTAATGTTTAATTTATTTTGCTGATGTTATTCTTACCTCATCAAATTTTAGGCAGATTGATCGTCACCAGAAGGGTGTTAAATGTTTAGCCTACTGAATCCTAAGGTAAGCCGAATCAAGGCAAGTGAAGACCGAATCAGATGAATTAACTGAGTTGGTTTAGTTTCCTATACTAGGATGAAATCAGGATAATTCTGAGACAAGCTTCGACAGGCTTAAGACCAGTCAACTGTCCTAGTTGTTGGCTTCAGTAACCAATAGAATTCTCACACAGATTATACGAGGCTGATAGAAAACAAAATAAGTAATTGCTATGAGTAAAAAAGACTAAGCAACTGCTAGAGTTCTCACTCCATAAAAGGTTCCACATTTGCAGAAGACAGATCTATGCAAGTTCTATCGGAGAATGAACAATCAAGTCAATAAGTTCTTACCCCAGCCCTCTATCACCTCCATCGCAACCTTAAGGTTAAATTTTTGAAATCTTAGGCCGTACAAGGAAATTACAAAATACAAAGGCAAACAACATTACCGTTTCACAATGAAAAATATAACCATCTTAGCAGATCGAACCCCATTGTCAGGATGCCAATTGCAAAAACAAAATATTCTTCCTGAGCAATTTTATAAGGATGTAAGATTGTAAACATAAAAAACCAGTGAATTACTATGTATAGCTTAAACATGAATAGCAGTTCAATGCAAAAAAGAATAAAACAAAAAAAGGACATACCAATCAGCATTTACTTTGCACCACAATTATCACCTCCTTTAACTTGTGATTTCTCTCTACTTCAAGGTGTCTCCATTTGTATAGCAGTAGTCTCCATTACTGTCATCAGATGCATGAAACAGAAGATGATCATGAGCAGGCATGTTGCTCCCAGAGCCTCCCATGACATAAGGGTAGTAGGTCACAAGCGTTGGCATCCACCTTGGATCATTCAAAGGGCTCACAAATTGGTATCCATATAGAGTAATACCACATGAACCAGGTCCACAATATCCATGTGTTGCATGATAACAGCCTTGATAGGCGTCATAAATCGGCCACCTTCGACCTCCACCTCCTCCAATGCTTGAACTACCATAATTGTTGTTATTTCTGTTATTGGTATAATTATTATCATTCTTGGGTATTGCTACCTTGACATCTACAAATTTCCCTTTCAGCTCATGGTAGTTGTTCTTCAATACCATTGCTACAGAGTCTTCAGAGGAAAATGTGACAAAACCAAAACCCCTTGGCCGTTGAGTTATATTA